CCGAAGGCTTGCCGACGGGCTTCCCGGCGGATGAACTCGCACCGCCTCGCCGGGAAGAAGGGAAGAGCCTCTCCTCCTGCCCTCCAATGTGAATTTGTAAAAAGTCACGCGAAGAGAAGCAACCGGACTCGCGCAGCCTCAAAACGAAACCCGAAAGGTACATTTTCCGATCCATGTATAGCCCTTTTCTTATTCTCTCTTGTTCGCCTGAATGTTGTCACCAAGTGAAAAATTATTTAACTATATGTACAAATCCCCCTTTAAAAAAGTTTTACTGATGTTAAATGTATTTCGGTGCCAAGGTCAGATTATGTGCCCCACAACTGACTTGTTGCAAATAGTAATAAAAATATTACTTTAACTTTACGCTGACTTTTCGTGAATGGTTCTTAAATTCAGGCGAGTAGATTCAACCTCAGAAGTAACAGTTTCTTAAAAGAAACGGAAAACGAGATGTGAAGATAGTCTAACCGCGACACCTAGCCGAAGCCTTAGCTTGGCATATGATTCATCGACGTTTCCTAACTTGCCTCTAGTTTCTACAAAACTAGCGCATCTAAGGAAAACAATCTTAGCTATTCCGTCGGTCAGCCTGTGACAACGTATCTCTAGGACTCTCAGCTTCCCTTCTAAATCTTGGGAATCGATGGAGCGTCGCACAGCAGCTCGCCAGAATTTAGGCAGAGTTAGAGCACGCCGTTTCCGACCCTACGCTCGGCACCTTTATTTTTTTCCTTATAGTTTTCTTTCCTTTTTTTCCCCCGGTAAATCTCAAGCGCTTGTATTTTGTTTTACAAATCCATCGCTATTTGCTGTCGCTTCCCAGCGCGAAGGCGCTATCTATTTGACTTTGACACGAAGGAAGTATAGATCTACCCTGAATAATTAATGCCCTTTAGAGCAAGCGGTCGATATTTTTTTAAACAAACATTTGTTTTCCCCGGATTTTTAAGTACAGCGTAAAACCGCAGCGCCGCGCAGCCCGACGAGCGGATCGCCCCCCCGAGCCGCCGGCAGCACCCGGCCGCTCCCCGCCGATCTCCCTCTCCCAAAGCTCAGCTCGACCCCTTTCCTTGCAGTTCGTGCCGTACCGATGTCGCTTTAAGTTCGCTCAGGACGCCTTAGAAATAACTGCAGCATTTTTATCGGGAACGGATTTCCGAGCTTTAAAAGCGTTAGCGTTATCTGCTCCAGCCGCCCGAAAGATTTCAAAGCCGGCTGGCAGCGTTTCGAGCAAGTTTTCGCGTCCTTTCGGGGCGGGGGG